AAGGTGGCTGCCTGAACGCTTGATAAAACAGGTGAATGGCTTACCACAACCCAGGGGAAGCCTTCCCCCCGAGGATGATGCCTTTTCTCTTGCAGATGCAGCTAGAACTCCAGACATGGACCATCCTGTTTAAATTTATTAAATAACAGATTAATCTCTTGGTTTCTAAGCCCATACAGGTTCATCACCATCGCCTTGATATGGCAGACTGCAACATTGAGATCTAGGAATTAGTGTTTTGCCATGAGCTTGTTCCAGTGGGAAACAGCCCTCCTTTTTTTTCTTATTTAGAAAACCCTCCTTATTCATAACTCCTGACCATTCAACGGGCAAGACCTATTGCCATAAGGGATAGGTTCGCCCCTCCTCCTATAGGACCCTCCGCTTGGGGGAGGATGCACCTATGGGAGGAAGAAAAAATGCTCTAATCAAGGGTGCAGGTAAGACTGCAGGGGGATGGATCCGCGAGATCCCAAAACCCAAGACCCCTGAGTGGCAAGCTCTGGTGCATGACGGTTGGCATGCATACCCACAAGCCGTCTCCTCAAAAAACATGCCAAGGCCTGTAAAATTCCCCTCCCCGAGTGAGGACGCTCGCTCGGAGTGGAGAAAAACCCTGGGCCCTTAGAGGAACAGAGCCTCTGTCACCCCCTCAAAAAGAGCACCAACAACTGATGGTCAATTTTCTAAATAAGAAAGGGGGAGATGTCGAGAGCCCTGCAGGGAGTCTCTCTGCATGATAAGCTTGACTATCTCGCTGGAACATCTCTCGAGGCTATTTACAGAATCTAGTCTTTGTTTCCTGCCCCAAACAAAGACCAGGTAGCTGCTATTGACCACCTTTTCACATTGCCCTAAGCAAGCATCCTGCAGCTGCTAGCCCAATGAAAAAGCTTCCTTATTCTAAGCATATAAATACCCCTGTGTGAAAAATAAAATTTGGCAGCTTGATCAGAATCCTTGTCTTGCTGTCCTTCTTCGTGTCTCTTGTCCCTTCATTCCTTCTCGCTTAGGTTCACCGCCCTCGTTGAAGTCCTGCGGGTCGGGACATAGCAGTGTAGATAGTAGAAAGAATTCCAATGTCAGGCTGGCCCTGGAATTAGTGACAAGGCATCTTATCTCTCCAGGCTGCTCCAACTGCCCACATTGCTTATGGGCTAATGACTGCAAGAGATCTTACAGATCCTCAAGTTTAGCTAGGCACACAAGCCTGCGAGCAGTCTGTGTAGCCTGTTTGTAAACACTTGGGTACAGGAGACTTGCTCTCCAGAAGGCTCAATACAGCTCCAACAAGTTTGGAAATTCTTTTCAGTTAGGTAACATCTATCTTGACAAAACTTCCACCCACTGCCCTGGGTTTGGCCTAAGTAGTACCACAGAGAACAGATATATAATACTTTTCCAAGGAATAGTCCTAAAATATTTGAAGATTAAAAATCCTTGAAACTTTAAAATGTCTTCAATGTTCCAAACTAGTCTTCATTTTTGAAGACCTCTCACTGTGGTTGGTAGTCTACAGGCAGCATATTTAATTGCTTGTAGTTTTCAAGTTTAATAAACAGAAAGGAAGTTCATCAGCATAAGGAAAACAAGTACATTGGCCTTCTCGGACTAGAAATCCATATTTTAAATACAATGGTCTATAATCATGTTAAATTTGATCATATTAAATTTTGATTATGCATGCTAAATTATGTTAACTTGCAACTAATTTTTTCACTTATCTCTGAGTTGTATGTAATTCCCTGAAGACATCGAATAATAGACTTTTTTGCACCTAAGGGCGGGATTTTCAACTTTTCCTATTAAATTTAATATTGATACATTCAGTTTATAATTCCAACAAATGTCTTAATTGCATATGTATTTGGTGGGTACCATTTTCATTTCATGTATGTATGTGTGAATGCATTTTGTGTACCACTACTGGGATTTGAACTCATTTCAGGGCTTCACACTCTCTTTTTTTCTCAAGGGTAACACTCTACCACTTGAACCAACCCTCTACTTCTGTCTTTTTGCTAGTTAGTTATAGATAAGAGTCTCATGGACCTTTCTGCCGGGGCTGGCTTTGAACCCAGATCCTCAGCACTTAGCCTCTTGAGTTGCTAGCAGTATAGGCATGAGCCACTAGTGTCCAGCTTCTAGCAAATATCTTCAAATCCTGACTCTGGCATTGAACAACTTCAATATTTCACCAAAGGTTAAATTTATCTGTTTTTTACTTTAAAATGTGAAGTTTATTGAATACTCATTGAATGCTAGGTACTGTTCTAAAATCTGGAGTTTTAACAATGAAAAGGACAGACAAATCCTCTGCTTACATGGAATTCCCACTCAGAAATGGTAAGGGCGTGTATAGAAGAACTGGGTGCAGAGAATGGGAGTACTATGGATGCTGGGCTCACAAACAGCCCTCTTTCTACTCCAGTGCCCTAGTGAGATGAGTAAATATTTCGTGTCCTTTCTAAAAATTGATTGATCTTCCTCTGCAAGCTGAGAAAACACTGTGTATTAACTGTGAGACCATCTGACTGTTTCAGCCTCTTAAACTTCTTAGTTGGTCAGCCAGGATGCACAATGGGAACCTGGCATAAACCCTCCATTGAAATTCTTTGGTTTTCATCCAAGCACTCACTCAGGTTCTCTAAGACAAGCTTTCATAATCCTCTTGGGAATGCAACTGGTTTGACCCACTTCATCAGGTCCAGGTACAAACACATTCACATACATTTTATTTTTCTAACTTGTCACTCCAATCCCAATTCCCAGTGAAAGTGGCAAACAAAGGGAGCACAGGGAATGGCCGCCTTTTATAAAGTCCAAAAGAACCCTCATGATCATTTCCTTAAAATACCAGAGTCTTGTTTATACACAGTGAAAATAATCAATTGATAGTTTTAAATTAAATGTATAAAATTGTTCCAAGTTGGCTATCTCTACCTACATATTTATTACAGGTGAGAATGATATATTTTAAATATGCTATTTTTATTAGTTCTTAGAGCAAGTGATCACCTCTGCATAAAAGATAAGAATACAAAAATCCCTGAGCATTCCCAGGAATATGTTTTAAAGCCCTGGTTTGTATGCACAAATAAAGATGAAGAAGTTAGAACAAAGGGCCCTATAAATTCAATCTTTCTAGCCTAAAGAGAAGGAATGTTCTTTTCCTTTTCCATTGTTTGTATTATCTTTCCCTTTCCAATTTCACCATCCAGAAGAGGAAGCTGGGGGACTAAACTAGCAGAAACTGTACAAAGTGGATTAGAGAAGAAAAAAAAAAAAGCTGGCTCAAAATACAAAACTTTTTTTTTTTTAATTTATAGCTTTCCAAACTAGTTCTGACATCTCTCTGGCTCCAGCAATCTACCTCAGACAAGAGAGCTAAGGCAGACTGTTGGGGAATTTCAATGACACATCAGCTACTCATCTACCCTAGGCAAGATACTCTCCCCCACTCTCCCAGCTCCAACTTGCAAGACCTACATATCCTGTAAGGTGCAATTATTCCAGAAGCCACATTTCGGAAGGTTGGAATACTGGAGTCTTTATTATATGGTTAGCAGGCTGCAGGCAGCCAGTTGTTATAAAGGCCTGCGGCCTCCAAATACACTTAACACAGTTAGGAAACAGGCTAGAAAGAAAAAAAGAACAAAAGCAATTTCAGCAAACCAATTCAGCTCTGATGGAGAGCTGAATTGGGACGCCATGATGACCAGAAAGGAGACAAGAGACAAGAGCCGGAAGGCAGGCCATGATCACGGATCATAGCTTATTGGCTGCTGGGCTGGTCCAGGCCTAAATAGGTCCAAGCATGGGGGACAAGTCCAAGCATGGGGGACAGGTCCACAGGAAATTCCTAGTCCCAGGCACTGGACTGACAGATTCAGTAACCTATTAGCCGGTGCCTTCCCCTGCTTCCAGAGGTCCTGGCATGTTCATCACCTAGGAGGCGGAGATGGAGGGGGGAGGGGGGAGCTTTCCTTCCCCTAGTGTGAAGACAAGATGCCAGGCCCTACAATTCACCACGTGGCCAGTATGGCGCAGGCCAGACCTGACCTCCTTACTTCAATCTTACAGGCTCTCCTACACATGCACTAGGCAAACATTCATCCCAACACAGTCGGCCTTTCACTAATGGACCTAAGCTCGAGATACCCACAAGAGGCATCAAGACATCCTCACACTTTGTCAATTAGCAAACAAAAATGAGATCTATCTTACTTATCACGTGGAAAGGCATTTCTTAAATACACCTCTTAGAAATAGTGCATGACTTATTAACCTTCAGATTATTCTCTGCTGGTTTTGTCACTTGACGTGACAAAATATAGGCCAGCTATTTGCTCAATTGAACACAGACAGACGCACCCCTTTATTAGCTTGGCAAATGACTTGAACCATTGGCAAAATGTCTGTGAGAGCTCTCTATCACTACAACAAATACTTGAGATAAATAAGCTTACAAAGAGAAAAGTTTCATGTTGGCTCACAATTAGAACAGGCTTTAGTCTTCAACTGATGAGCTCGTTGCCCTTAGGCCTAGAAAGAACATATGATGAGTCCAAACTGTTTGCCTCATGTCCAGGAAGAATGAGAGGAAAGGGTTAGGGGACAGCTGTCTCTTTCTTAAGTGATTTTTCTTTTATTCAAGAAGGAGGAAGTGCAAAGAAGGGGAAAATGTAAGCACTGTTCAAATCTTACAAATATACTACAGCCTATTCATTTAAAATGCGGACTGCTTTTCTTCTGAAGATCACTGTGAATTCCATCTGAATTAATATTGGTTCCAGGTTTTATTGGTATGGATTTGTGTGGCTGCTTAAAAATAAATAATGATTTCTTCTAAGCTTTATGATAGCATTAAATTCCAAAAAGAACGCTAGGTAATGTTAGCTTAGTAGATAAGAAAGAGCTAGCTGTTAAGAGCTAGCTGTTAAGAGTTAGCCTAAGAAAGTGTCTCAAGAGAGAGAGAAAACCTAAAGCACACAGACAGCAGTAGTTCTAAAGAGCAGAAGCAAGGCAACAAGGCAGGGAGTTCCCAGCCATTCTACAGCAGTGGAAGCCAAAGTCAGGACTCAAGGAACTGGGTCACTCCTTGTACCTTGAACTCCACTCTGCCAGAAGTCCAGCTATCTCTTTCCAGAGTCCATCTCTCAATGACCTAAAGGCCTCACTAATGCCTACTTCTCAGAAGTTTCACCATTTCCCAGCAGTGCCCAATGCTGGAGATAGTGCATGGTCCTCTAGGAGACTCTCAGCCACACTATAGCAGGGCTCAATCAAACTAGAGCTATCACTTAAGAGGAAGTAAGGTTCCCCTTAAGGAAGTAAGGCAAGTGCAAGGAATCTAGTGTATACAAGAATGATGAAGATAAAAATAACTGTAACCAAGATGTATGTTATAGATTATTTCATGCAAGCATTAAGCCTAAATAGATTACTTATTATTACAATTTCACAAAAACTAGGAAAATTCTGTTTTAACTAGCCTTTCAAGAGACCTTCCCTAGTGTTTTGCTGTTGGGACACTGGGGCTAAAAGATTCATGAACAGAATAGGAAGGTCCTTTCTTCCACATGTCTTGCCCTGCCCTTTCCTGAAGTAGATGGGTTTTGTCATAGCCACAGATTCAATCAAATGGTTTCATATAGCTTTCAGCCATGGCATGAAGAGACATCTGATTTAAACAGCTTATTTTCCTCATCTCTCAACAACTCCCACAGTACCACACCAAGAGACTTATCCACTAGCACAGCTTTCCTTTAAACATTTCTACAAGTACTATTTGAAACACATTGGTAAAATGGCCTTCCTCTGTAGCCACAGGTTTATGTTTAAATGCAGAATATGTTGTCTGGTAAAAATGCCAAGGCAAAGGATAACGCTGAACATGTACCCACAAGTAAAATCCATAGAGCACTCCCTAGTCAAATTCTTTCATGCATTAGCATTGCAAGTTAATTTCTGAGCAAATGCTATACTTTGTTATTGCCTGTGATACTACATGAATTTGCATTATTTTAACAATGTACTAAACTTGATTGTTGTCAAACAAGAAAAATGTTTGTTACAGAAAGAAAATTGAATGATCAATCAAGGTTGTTTGCATGGACTAAGTATATGGAGGAAAAATAAATGCATAAAAAGAAGGCGATGGGAAAATCTTTTCAGGAAAGGCCATTGTCTTGTGTCACACATCTTCCCAGAACTGGATCTCTTCTATCTCTTTTATAAGGGTTTAACTTTTTAGTCTTTGTTATGCAGTAAGTTTCAGAGGCATGTGAAAGCAAGTAGTTTGGCCCAGCAGGATACTTCTTGCTCCATAGTTTGCATTGGTGATGAGAGGAAGGTATTCACAAGGTGTGTTTTAACATCTGGAGATTCTGTTCCTCTTGAGCAATCACCAACTCTTTGAAGACAAGAACTTTATCAGTAAGATCTCTGAAAATGTCTATATCTTATGAACAGGAAGATCACAAGAACTTTGGCTTTGGTTTTATTTCATTCTTTATTTTTTAAAGAACTCAACATTCATCTCTACAATGAGAACTATAAAACACTCAAGAAAGAAATTGAAGAAGATATTACAAGATGAAAAACACCCTATGTTCATGGATCCACAGAATTAATATTATGAAAATTACTATATTGCCAGGCAATCTACAAATTCAGGGAAATTCTCAGCAAAATCTCAATGTCATTCATCAAGAGAAACAGGAGAATCAACCCTAGAAAAACCAAAGTAATCCTGAGTAAATAAAGAGCCATAATAACAAAAAAGAACAAGATACCAGCATGAAGACAGACATGAAGACAACAGCACAGAGCAGAATACCCAGAAATAAACTCAGATATCTTCATCCATTTCACTTTTTAATACAAATTCCAAGAAAATACATCAGAAGAAAAACACTGCCTCTTCAACAAATGGTGCTGGGAAAGCTGTATATCCACAAGTAGATTTTTCATCACATACAAAAATTAATTGAAAGTGAATAAAACATCTGAGTGTAAGACTTGCAACTTGGAAATACTACAAGAAGCATAGCATATAAGCACAAGTAACTATTTTCTGAATGAGACTCGAGTTGTTCAGAAAATAAGAGCAAAAATTGGCAAATGGGAGTGACTCAAATTTAAAAGCTTCTGCATATGAATGAAACATTTATCAGAATAAAGAGACAAAGCACAGAGCAGAAACAATCTTTGCAAGCTATTCATCAGATAAAGGATTCACATCCAGAATTATAAGAACTCAAAAAATAAAACACCAACCCCCCCCAAATAATAATATATGGACAAGTTAAGTGGAGAGATTATAAAAGGGAGTGCAACTGGCAAAGAAAAAATACATGAAGAAATGCCCCATAGCCATAGCCATAAAGGGAATGCAAATTAAAGTCATACCAAGGGTCCATCTCAGCACAGTTAGAATGGATAACATCAAAACAAAGAATGATTGTTGAAGCAAGGGAGACAGACTCTTTATACTGTTGGTGGGAATGCAAATTAGAGCAACCACTATGGAAATTAGTGTGGTGCTTCCTCAAGAGATTAAAAATAGAACTGGCCAAATGATCCTGAAAGGCATCAGATTGGTAGAATATCTGGATTCCAGCGTATACCATTAAAAGACTTATGTTAAAAAGTATCAGTGTGTACAACACATTAGAAGTCACACTCAACTATTTAAACATACAAGGAAAAATTGTAGGTATCAACTGAAAAATTATACGATGAAATATGTAGTTTTACTCCAGTAGCTTAAGTGGTAGGTGCGCAAAAAAAAAAAGTGGGGGTAAGCAATCATTAGTCTAAGCTTCCTGCAGTACTACCCTGGCTGAAGACACTCAAATTGCCAGTTTCTGATGCTCCCTACTGCTCTGCTCCAGCAGCACACCCACCATAGATTAGTCCCTTACAGAACTTAGCTCACCTGAACCTCCTCCCACCTTCAGGAATAACTACAGAGCAAAAATCACCAACAAAAAATGACAGTGATAATGCAGTTGCCCAGAGCCTAAGACGTGAGGAAGCATTTGAGGAAGTGGAGCTTCATGTTGAAGAACGTAAAAAAATAATTATATATATATGTGTGTGTGTGTGTGTGTGTGTGTGTATATATATATATATATATATATGACAGCACCTAACTCCCATTTTTGCTTCTGTATGAATTGCTTTGTGCTAGATGGTTGTATGGTTTTTGTATGATTTTAACTGACTGGTCTTAGTTACTCAGTAGTGGAATGTCAGCCTGGGAGCCTAGAGTTGCTTAGTAAAAGACTTCAAAGGGTTTACAGCCCTGACCAAGGGGGTAAAGTCCTCAGAATTATCCCCACAGCCGCAACGCCCCTCCTGGAGGCCGAGGCAGTAAGGCCCTAGGGAAGAAATATAATGTTTTAAGAAACGTAAGCAACTCCATTTTTGTTTAACACTCCATCTCAGTTCTGTGACTTGACTCATGATCCATTTTAGCCCCAATGCTAGGAATTTATGACAGAAAGCCATGCACAATTCTTGGAGCCATAGATGGCGTTTGCTTAAGGCAGGTGTTAGCCCCCAAGTGGTGTTGCCCCCCACCCACCTAAGACTAAGAGTTTCTTTTTTTTTTTTTTAATTTAATTTAATTTTATTTATGAACATACTGTACAGAGGAATTACAGTTAGGACTAAGAGTTTCTAACCAACCCATTCTTCAGAGCCCAGGGCGAGACATGCCATGCATTCTGTTGGTCTGGGTGTGACTCGTAACCTTTTTCGGTCAAGCTATGGACCAAGGACATTTTTTTCTGTAAAGATCGACCAATCATTATTTGCCCAGGTTAGCTTGCTTTAAATGTAAATGTTAACCAATCATGTAATTTCTTATGTAAAGTTCCTTAAAGTTGTTTGTTCAATACTATAAAAATTGCACTGATTCTATGCTCAGGGCCTCTTAGCATCACCGGTTACCATGTGCACGGAGGACCAAGCTCGAGTTTGCAATAAACCAGCTCTTTGTTGCTTACATTGATCGTGGTCTCTGGTGGTCTTCTGGGGGTTCCTGAATTTCGGTATAACAATGTCTAAAAGAAGCCTATATCTTGTGAGGAGGTTCTGAGGTTACAAAAACAGTACCTTTCTTAAAGAGCCAATTTACAGAGGTTGCCTTGCTCTCAAGCAAGCAAGACTTCTGAGATCCTGGGTGGATGCCAGAAAATCTTATGTTAGATCTCCCATGAGATAAAGTGATAGCTTAGTGAAAACCCAGGATTGCTTTTTGGAAGGGGGGGGGGGGGGATGACTATACGGATGACAATTACAATTGAAATACTACTTCTCAAGTCATAAAGTTACACATTTTCCCTACTCAAAGCCTTTCAATGACTTCCTCTAACTTTCAGGGTAACATTCAGACTTCTAATTTAGTTCATAGTGTCTTGTGACCTGGTGCCTCCCTTCCTTAGAGACAAAATCTCCCAAGACTTCCAGGAGGGACTCAGGCTCCCTCCAATGATCAGCAGGGTTCCAGCTCTGTTATGTTTGTGTCAATTGTCTTTGAAACAAATCCCAATGCTGGCGTATCTGCCTGAGAGCCCTTCCTCCTTTCTCATCTGTCTAGGTCCTCTTCCTTGAAAGATGCAGCCCAAGCATCATCTCCCACACTTTAAATCTTTATTTGGTCCTTTTATGAGCCTCCCCTCCCCCAGATCAACTCCTTAACGCATTTATTCACCCATTCATTAATTCACTCATCCATTCATTCACTTGCTAACAGCCTTTGTAAAATCCTAGTAGGGAAGGCTTGACACCCTAGAGACAAATAAACGAATATAGGGTGAAATAAATTATTATGCAGAATAACATACTAAAAAGAAATTCTTCTTTGAGCCATATTGAGGGAGATTGAGGATTTGAGATGAGAAGTAGCAGGAAATAAGTGTGGGGACTGGAAGAAGAAAAAGACCAAAGAAAACTGATGGACTCTTTCTATCTGCTTCCTGTATTTGCACTCAGGCCTCCATCCCTGCTTAGTGGTGTGTGGCCTGTCATTGCAGAACAGCAAAGCTTAAAAAAGGAGCCCTGCTATGGATTAGCTGCGTGGCTTAGCATAAAACACTAATCGTCTGTAAGCTCCAGTTTCCTCAGCTCTAAAATAGTGCTATTAACTTCTGTAATTCCGGATCATTCTCACCCACCCCACAGAGTACCTATCAGGTAATAAACACAGGATAGATCATCAGCTCAAAGTGCATGTCTAGCTCATGTTGAGGAATGATAGCAAACACTTCTTTCCAGTATTACAAGGCACATGGCTTAGACCAGGATATTACAGCAGCCTAATATGATGTAATTCTCTGATCCAGGACACCATGGTGCAATTCTGAATACAACATAACATGTCCAAACCCATTCTTCAGCTCCTAGGTGACAACAATTGCAAGCTTGGGTCTTTAAAGTCATGTTAACAACATGGTTTAATAGTCTCAACAAATAGGAAGACAACAGAACAAAAAAGTCTATGAGGCTGCTATATGAACCAGCAAAAGAGCCCTAAACCCTGCAACAAGAGACGCTTTGCTTAATGGAGCTTAACCTTCTAGAATCCTGAGACTGCCAAAACATTTTCTTCTCGAATGACTAGTAGCACAGTGTTGGCATGTTGACCCAACTACAAGGTTAGATTTGGAGATAAAATATTGGATTCATTATTATATCTCATTGGACTGGAGGTCTTGAGCAGACATTAGTCTTCTTGTTTGATCACTTATTAATAATCATTGTCTTGACATTCTAAGCTAGCTGCCTGGTTGGTAGTTCCTGGTAGCAGTGACTGATGGAGTTACTAGAATCTCTGTTTACTGGGTGATTAGGTAATAATTACACCAAGCTAGATTCATGGCTACTCATCATATGCCATGGTGCTTGGCCTGGAAAGAATGCCATGTACAGCAGACTGATCTGGTCATGTCCACCTCTGTTGCCTTTGCTCACTCTCCTCTTCCAACAATGACCTTTCTTCCTCTCCAACTATTTAAATCCTAAAAATCTTTTAAGGCCCACATTAGGTACCCTTTGACCAGCATCAATCCTTGTAAAAGATCATTTGGGGGGGGGGGGTGCGGGTTTGTTGTTGTTGGTTTTTCCAATGTGGGGCTTGAACCCTGGGCCTGGGCACTTTCCCTCAGCTCTTCAGCTCAAGGCAAATGCTCTACCACTTGAGCCACAGTGCCACTTCTGGTTTTCTGGTGGTTTATTGGAGATAAGAGTCTCATGGACTTTCCTGCCTGGGCTGGCTTTGAACCATGATCCTCAGATCTCTGCCTCCTGAGTAGCTAGGATTATAGGTGTGAGCCACTGGCACTCAGCAGATCATTTGTTTTTTTGAATTTCCATTGCATTTCACTATATTTTCTTTACATTTCACTATCTTTTCTTTACATTTTATATCCTGTGTTTTCTTTGCTAATGCAATGCCTTTCATACAAGAGGCATGAAAGTGTTTATTTAAGACATAAGCTAGTAGTATATAACAGTCTCTATAGTAATTACTATAGATTACTTCAAAATGTAAAAAAAGAATCATTGTTATGAAAAGAAAATACGTATCTCCTTATGAGGAAGTTCTGCTTTGCAATCAGCATCTAAATTCACTTCCTGCTTGTTTACTTCCCTGAGGGCTTACTTAGGATGCCAGCAATAGTTAGACTAAACTCAAATATTTCATCTCTGGCTTATCATCATCAAAATAGTTTGGCCTGCATCTCACTTCTTGAATATTAAAACACTGCTCAAAAATACAGGCAGCACAGGGCAGAACTAGGGCAACTTGGAAATAAAGACTGTGAGTTGGTGATTAGAATTGAAGAAAGTGAAAGAAGAAGGTTTTCATCTGCAACTTCATGGGAGCAACTCATTCCTATAAATGAAGATCCCAGCTGGGCTAGAAATGACCAAAAGCTGAGAGTCAGGGAAGGGTATTCATATGTGCACAGTGTTTTATTAGATAATATTAATGAATTATTTTCAATCTTGTCAGATTAATAGCATTTGTTATAATATATAAAAGAGTTATCAGAGATGCATGCTGAGAAATGACATAATTTTTGGTATTTGTTTTGAGGTACTTAAGAGAAAAAGAAGGAATGAAAAGAGCAAGACTGGCAAAATACAGATGACTCTTGCATTCACTCATTGTACTATTTTACTTTTGTGCATTAAAACATCTACAAGGCTACTAAGAGAATTCTTTTAAAGAAATGCTGTTTTTTAAGACAACAGACAATTCCATGTACAAAGGTGACTCAAAACAAGAATTTGGATCTACAAGAGTCTTGATCACAAGACAAAACTTTTCTTGGAAATGATAAAGGAGGTAGATTTTTTGTTATCGATGTTTTATGATCACAAGTCTGTGCTATGTGATATATTCCAGAAGCCTCCAAATCACTGGTGTGGTCTGTGCTCCATGAAGTAAATCAGAAGGCTAGTGAGCACGAAGACCTGGGAATGACAATTGTGGTCTCAACTGCGAACATATGGACTGACTAACTTTAGATTATTGCTCAAAGTTTCAAACTTAACCTAATATATCGTGGTTTTGTGCTTGTTTGTAGAAGAGACAGAGGGAAAAGTAAAATTATGTTGCAATAAAATTCCTCGTAGCACACCCTGCGAATCATCTGAGGAGTATTTACTTATTCAGAAAATCTGCTCTAATTTAAATTTACCTCTCAGCCATTAGTCAAAAAAGTGCCTTTCACAAAGCTAATTGATAACCCTCCCCCTTCCACAACCCTTTTTCTTACAAAAACAAGCCACTATCAAAGAAATTCTGAATTCAATTAAATCAATACAGACTAATTTCCATTTTATCAAAGATATTAAATGGATGACTTAAAAAAAAAAAAAAAAGCTTGCTTACTGCCTTTTCTAAATATCACCAACGACTGGAATTCTCAGATACCTCATTGATTTTTTTTCCTTCAATTGTATTTCCTTCCTCTTTAGGAAAAAAATAATGGTACATATTTGCTCCCAACTTTAGCAAATGCCAGAGGGTAAAATTTGGTAGAAGACTGAAGACAAATCCGAGAAATCCGGCTTCTCGCACCTGAATCTATCAGGGCTTCCGGGCCTGCAATCCCAAGGACTGGGTTTCAAAAGATTTAGCGTATCCATGAAACCATGCGCTACCTTAGGTAAGGTTACACATAACCTTGAGACTGGGTGCAAACGTGCTGCTTTGCTTTTCTGTTGATGGCTCAATGTGCCTTTGCGTAGAGGGGGTGTAAATAGGTACCACTGAAGGATAGGATGCTTGAGATCTGCCACTGGTGGATGGGGCAGCAATGGAGTGTTGCCATTGGAGGATGAATGTTATGGTGAGCTGCCATTACAGGACAGAGGCGGGAGTTTTCCTGATGGACAAGAAAGTTGTGTATTCTGCAGTCAGTGAGCCAGTGCTGGGAAGGGAAAGCCAAGTGTGCTTTTATACTGGGGATGCAGGGGTGAGGGGAGCTGCCACTATCGTTAGTGCCAGTGATGAATCTGTAGACAGAGAGTTTTGAATAAAGTATGATCATTCGATTTTCTTCTGCCTGCCTGAATCTCAATTCAATCTATCTGGAGCTGAAAACCTTCAACACAAAGGCACAAGAAGTAACTTTTTTGATTCAACTAATACAGCTGAGTTGGCACAGTGTTTCAGGGAAGGGGTCCTTACCCGCTGGGGGATAAGCTTTCACACAGAGGCCTTTGGGAAGCAATTCTCATTCAAACTGTAAAGAAAGGTTAAATGGGAGCTAATCAATCACATTCAGAAAAAAAGGAACTTTCTAACTAATATAGAAACTCTTAAAAAGATCCCCAGGAGGTCTGAACAGAACCACTTCTTATACACAGTAAAGGTCTAGGACAGGTCCTGTCTACTGAGTGGCATGCTGGGTAAAGTAGGAATTAAGGGGTTTGGGGTTGTTGTTTTTGTTCCTTTTTCTGTTTGGAATATAAATCTAACCATTACACAGTTATTGTTAGAACTCACATCATTTTGAATGCATTTTCAGTGTACATAATATAAAACAAAAAGAATGACATATACAGTGTTTCAGCTCTGAAAAAGTACTTCTAATAAATTGATAGAAATTAGGTATTTATCACTTAAGACTAGAGAAGAAAGACTTCTCACACAAGATTAGATACACATTTAGTTGACTTGCTATCAACATAGAATACCCTTCATGGTTTTCTTCCTCTGTAACACAAAGGAAAGATTTTAGAAGAAATCATGAAGGAAGGGAATCAAAAGGTCTCTTTTTTTGGAAATAATGTTAGTTTGAGAAACTACAACACCTTTTTGTATCAAACTAACTTCTACAAGCCCATGCATCTTTATGAAATATCATCTGCACCAACTTTATGAAGTGATTCCAGGTAAGATTAAAGGAAAATTCTAAAGATAAAGCAAGGTTAAAAAGATTAAGCCTAAAAAAAAAAAAAAAAGATTAAGCCTGTGTTTATCTATTTATAAATTAATTACAAAGGCACACAGTTTTTTTTTTCTTTAAAAGCATATAAAACATTTTAAAGCCTTGTTATTTGTTTTACACTTAAAGAAGAAACTTACTATGAACCTTAGGCTAATGCTCTCATTATCAAAGATTATATCTAGTTTCAGAATCTAGTGAATGCATAGCTAATCTAGTTAAAAATTATTTAACTCCCAGAATATAGGATCCAAAAATTAAAAATGCTAAACAATAATTTCTTCCTTCCTTCCTTCTTTCCTTTTTTTCTTACTTTCTTTCTCCTTTATTTCTTTCCTCCTTTCTGTCATTTCTTCATTTCCTTTCCTTTCCAGTATTGGGGCTTGAACTCAGGGCCTTGCACTCTCAATTGAGCTTTTTCCTCAAGCCTGGTGTTCTACCAATTGAGCCATGTCTCTATTCCAGTTTCCTGGCTGGCCAATTGGAGATAGTCTTGCAAAATTTCTGCCTGGCCTCTGCAGTCCTCAGATCTCAACCTCCTCCTGGGTAACTAGAATTACAGATACCAGCCATCAGTTCCTGGCTCTAAACAGTCATTTCAAATGTTAAGGTCCTTTTAAAGATTGTTAAAGAAGTCATCA